TAATCATTCTTCCTCTGTCATGAAATCTGATTCTTGCTTGTGTACTTTAAAGGATATTAAATGATGAGTCCTCTCGTCCTACAACAGCTTCATTTCCTTGGTGAGGGACATGAAAAAGCTATCTGAAAATATAAGTACACTGCTATAAATTGATTATTCTTATCCATACGCTTATTGACTCCTTCAAAGAACTACAGATTTACAAATGAAGACTTAACAGTTTTGTTGATACTTTGCTATTTTACTTATCCAGATGTCCTCTAATTCTATTATTACAATTTAATTCCTTGATGAAGTCTTGAGTAACACCAGAGGTCCTTTACTGCCACAGAATCCAGCAAAGCTTTCTGTGCAAAAACCCCCAAAGTTATGGGGGATATAAAACAAGTCTAAAACATTAAAGTTTTTTTTTTTTTCAAATTGCTTTCAGGCTCCTAATAAAGATTAGATTTAATTACAGCAATTAAGAATCTGTTGGCACTCCTGAACTTTAAAATGAACAGCTGTAATTTTGGTGCTTGAAGAGACAGATGAGAAAGACCACAACAGCATATTTAATACTCTATATTTAAGAAGAACTGAGTCTTTATAATCAATAAGTATTATGGTAGATTACTAATAAAAATTAAGCAATTGCATTTTATGCAGAGTGAGACTTACTTATGTGGCCCTGGTTTCCTGCAACAGCATCAACATCTCAGCACTCAACACCACTACCTTATTTCTGCATCCGTTCACCCAGCCCAGCTGATTAGCTGGGCCAATCACTATAGCTTTTGGAACAAAAATGAGACAGTTGCACTACACTACAGTTAGGTTATTGTGCTACTAGAAAGCACATCTTACTTCAGTAGCCTTAAGCAGTAAGCTATAACCCGTGCAGGACTGCAACATCAGATTTGTATGAATTTAAGAGGCAAATTCCATCATTATTCAAATATCTGATTTTTTCCCTTTGTATTTTGTAAGAAAACAGATCAAAGCTAAATAATAGGCTTTTTTTATCCCTTCTATTCTAATCATCACCTTTCCATTCACCAAGGTTTGTTGGCCTGACTAAGGTTTATGGCTAAACCAGCATGTTCTATATATTTCCAACCTGGAACTAGTATAATTCATTAACATTAGGACCAATATTTGGGAGAAGTAAGCTTCCGACTTATATAAAACATAGCAACCTGTTTCCTTGATGATAAGCATGTCACTAGTGCTTCACACTTAACCACTGCCAGCCAAATCACCTACCAATTCTGAGTCTTGATCCTGAAGCACTGGAGTAAAAAAACTTGACAGATAACCATTAATTACCCATCATTTGTATTTGGGATTTTGTATACAGTATGTGTACACAGTATTTCATTCTCAGACGAAACATGAGGAAGATGGGGAGATAATGCCATTAAGCATTTTAAATGAAGCCTACAGAAGAGCCCATCTAAACACATAGAAGGAAATTAATCAGAAAGGCAAACAGGGTCTTTAAAGCTGTGTTATGTGCATGGGTTCTCAATGGTGTGTATACAGCATTGCAGCTAAATGCAGCTGAATGCAAGAGAGACAACAGACTTCAAATTGTTTCTGGGGATAACTGTGACAGTAATCAAAGACAGAGGTGAGAGTTAAGCTGCTAAATCTCAGGTTTAAACCTAGTGTGTATAGGATACGGTTTCTTAATTCAGAAAGAATATAGTAATGGACAGCATTCAAATGATTTTGCTACCTAGAAGTGATGTATTTGATTTTTTTAGGATAAACTGTAGTAATTATCTCCAAAAGGACAGAGTGAGTAACCATCCACAGGTTTTCTACATGATACTATGGGAGCAAATTAATCAGGCATATGTTTCTGATGTGGTACCAGTGGGGGAGGGAAGGAGACAGGGACCAGATGTTCCTGAAGAAGCAAGATTTAAAGAAAAAGCAGAACTCACTTCTAATAAGATCAACATACTCCCTCTTGGTTTTCATTCAAAAGAAAATTTCAGGAATGTCCTGCACAGATTTAGATGGCTCAGGAAAAGGTATGTACAAAAGGCTTTCATACACTTTACTTAAGGAGAACCACCACAAAACAGGCAGCAAAGGATGGAACAGAATTTGCTCTTTTTTTTTTAACTAATCCTTAATCCTAGAATGCACTGCCTAAACTGGAGTAAATAAAATAGAAAATTGGTAATTCTTGTCACAAGAATAGAACTGGAACCAGAAGGATCAGCTGTTGCCATTAGCTTTATTCTGGCTCCTGATAAAATTCTGATCATATTTTTGACCCATTTATCTATAACATACCACCGTACTTCAGATGGCATTCCTACTTAGAACTGGCATTATTTGGCTGCTCATCAGCTGTCCTTAAGTCTGCTTTTTCCAGATGTCTGAGAAAAATCACTTTGAATCCATTAAGAGGATCCTTGTATCTTGGATATCTTCATGTCTAAAGGTTGCAATGAAAACTCATGACCTGTAGCTAAAAGCCATGATGTTTCCTGAATTGGAAAACAATTTGATGCCAACTGAATACAATGGGAGCACGTGAGACCAGTCGATTATGTCTTCGAACAGACTGAACCTTTATGATCATGTAGAGTCACTTCAAGTGTTTATTAATGTGAGTTTCCCCCCCCAGCCCCAAGACAGGACTAAGGCTTTCTAAAGTATGTGGGTCTTGCTATAACTATGAGGAATACCCGCAAGTCACACATCGTGGTCATGAGGTGGCAAGATACTGATCAAAACCAGTCATTTTTTGTTTTAATGAACTGTATCAATGCTTTGAGTTGAAATCTCAATTGTAATACGATTGCTTAGTATTCAGAAATGGCTGAACCCAGGACAATGGCAGAACTGAATTTTAACAACTCTATCCTACCAGAGGGACATTCTATTTTATTATGAACCAGTCTGGCAATGTAAGAATGTCTATTATGAATTGGAATCCAGTTCTATTGTTTCTGAGCAAGTATAAGTAACCTTCTTACAGGAATACAGTACATTAACAACATGATAAGCATTTAATGAGTGTTAAGGAAAGAATAGTTACAGTTATAAAACAAGTATATAGTCAAGACTGTTTGCCTTAGATTCAAATACCTGAGGAATAATAAATTTTCTGATCACCTTTTGTAAGCAATTATTTATTATTTGCATAATTTATGCCTCTGTGGAGGATGGGATTAGCTAGTAAATACTACAGAGTCATCAGTTTATACTGTCAGTGTTTTCCATATCCAGTTTCAAAACACATGATGAAAGAACAAAATGTCAATAAGATGATGAAATTAAGATGGAGACATCTGTGCCTACTGAAAATTAATTTTGTTCAGGTAGTGTTTTATACCTAGTGAGCATCCTTAAACTGCATGGGCATCTGTATATGCAGGCACACATGCATACCCATTAGGGTCCGAATTAATTTTCATAGAATTTCCTGAACAGAAGAGAACATTCTGTTTATAGTAAGCCACTACTGACCAAGTAAGTATGAACTGAAGACCTGGAGGTCATTTCATGTTTATTTGATAAGGAAGTCTATATATAGAGCTATGTAATTGTAGTTGAAACTAAAGTTCTGCCATAAATATAGAAAAGTCCCAATATGATATTATTTCATCCTCAAGGCCATATTTGAAAATTTCTGTGTTGGTATCTTTGATGCTTAACAAATGCTGACATGATAATGTTATTGTAGAATGTGCCATTTAGTCATCTAACCGTAAATATACTTTGGGGGAAAAAAATACAGATTTAGCTTTAGAATACACATTTTTGTAATGCTAATTCTGACACAGCTTTCTGAAAAAAAATGTATAGCATCAATGACAGTTGGATAGTGACTCTGGGATACATTTTTTCAGAGAAGATGTGTAACTGCAGGCAGCAAAGGTTATTATTTGTTTGAATATTTGAAAATTCAGACCATATGCAGCTGAAATTTGATGCCTCCAAGTGTCAAAAAATTGTGGCATGCTTTTGAAATCTGATCAAATTATTCTGCAGGATGCAGTTAAGTGTATTTATGGAGTAAAATACACTCACTCACTTCTATTCAGCTTCATATGCTTAGTATGCATTTTTGTAACTATGCTGTGTGTGCCAGTACAGGACACTTGTGAATTAACTTTTTTTTTTTCCTGTTTCAATAATGTCCTAGATTGGATTGTACATTTTATTTGTATATATTCCTATATTTAATCTCCAATTTAAAGTGTGGTATGAAGAGTTGGAATCTGGCTAAAAAAGAAAAAATTGCTTTATCCTCAAAGGTAACAAGGATTTGTTGGGATCTCCCAAATATAAATAGTCTGACTTGGATTAGGTTAGGTATCAATCTAACAAACAAAAACATTTATGTAACCACAACCTATATCAGAACAGACAAAGCACAAACAAGTCAGATGTTGCAGTGACATTTGACAGCAGTGGCTTGTCCTCCTAAAACTTTAGATTTGATGTGACAAAAAATAAACACAGTGAATGTTACGGTAGTCAAATATTATGAAATTAAACCTAAGGAACACTGCTTAGGACTGCATGTTTCAATGCTTAAATGCATTGTAAGGGGCAGCTGAGATGCCCAGGGTTCAAATGTTCTCCTCAGCCTGGAGAAACCTAACGTCTAATTGTGGTACCTTTCTACAGCTTCTACAAAAGGAAATGAATGATTTATTGAGCCAGATTTGAAATATTAATAAAGTAGGAATTTGATTCAGTTTTCTACTGAGAAAGCAACTCCCCTAAAAAAGATGCTGTAGTGGCTTCCTGTCTGTTTCAGTGTTATTTCACGAATAATCAGATACAAAACACAAGGTATACTTGAAGTTTCGCAGCCCAGAACCAAGGACTCCAAATTCCCTTGGTGCCCATGTTTATTTTGTCTTGTCCCTTCAATGTGACATTTTCTGCTGGACAGTGAACAGCATCAGTGGTCAAGCCAGAGGCTGGCCCCATTTCATTCTAATCTTACATGGAGCAGGTTAGTGAAAACAGAATTACATCCCTACCCGGTGAAGTCTGAAATTCCAGCTTTAGCATTTCTGAGGCTAGTATGCAGACGACAGCTTCCTTCTTGCCGAGTGTCTGATCTGAAAAGAGGATGTGGTATTGTGAAACCTGTATGGACAGACACACCTAAGCCACAGTTTTCTCTGAAGAACCTGCTTTAAACAGGCCCATTTACTCAGTGTCGCCTACTGGTTATCTCTTTTCAACTACTCCCAAATACATAGTGACACTGAATTGCCCTTTGGAACTGTTTGGACCTTCTGAATCACAAAAATAGATTTGTGCCACCATTTTTACTTCTAGAACTGTGTACTTCCATACTTCATCACACAAATTGGTGGGTTCATATGGAAATATGCCTGAGAATGTGGGAGTTCTGCATGCCTTAGTTCTAGTCTCTCCTTCAAGGGCTGCATGTGCGTTCTGCATTGTAATTAATTTTCAGTGAAACAGCACAGAAAACAGACTGCAGTCTGTTTTTCTGTGTCTTAGAAGTTTCTTTTTTCACTAGGAAGAACAATTCCTGAATTATTTTACATTATTAAAAATAGGTTTCATTAAAAATTGAGGGAGGGGATAGGCTTTTACAAGTGTTCTAATTCAAATCCCTATGTTAGCCACTCCTTATGGGTTTTGCAACCACATAAATGGTAAGGTCTTGACCAGACATGGTAATTTAGACTACTTAACAAAGGCATACAGCATCCTCCTAGCATCACCTGAGAAGAGCTGGTGTCTGCAGAATGAGTAAGGAAGCTTAACTGAGGCATTTGGTTCAGACTGTCAAAATTACATACTTGTGTATAAGTTGCTTACATACAAATGAACACTCACTGATTGACAAATGACTAAAATCAAGATTCTCACCTCAGAAAGCATATGCAAACCTCGTTTCTCACCAAATTAAATAGGGGTATGTGTTAGTGCCTGGTGTACTTCTGCTAACTGTTTGGGGTAGTGCTGGAAATTTGGCAAGATGAATTGCAAGAAGCCCACATCCTGTACACCAGGCATTAAACTGGCCAAGACCTAAGGAAGCTTGCACAGCATCTGCTGGCATTCTGCCTGCATTAGCTGCTGCAATTTGCACTTGTTTTCATAAGCAACAAATCTGTCCCTAAAGAAATGACAGGTCAGCACCACTTGCTGTGTTTTTATTTTCCTCTCCTTTAAAATACTTCTATATATATATATAATTGTCAAACTTGGAAATACTCTTTCCTTAATTTGTTGTGTTTTTTCTTCTTTTTGACCACAATTGACCCCTGTTTTCCCTTCCCTACACCACCAGTTCTTTTAGAATGCAGCTCAAGCAGCTCTCCCCTGCTCTGGTTTGGTACTTTGGGATCTAGCTACAAGACCAGGTTGTGCTTTTATTTACAGCAACAGATTAGCATAACATGTTATTAAGTGTTGCATCATAAATGCAGATATATTCTGTCAGACATTTCTGCAGCTACTGAAGGTGGATTTCTGTGTAATACCAATAGGAAGGCATCTCCATTTGTGCCACAGTTGGACGGTCAGTTTGAGCTAACATACACTGGCCCTGAATACAAATAGGCTTGCTTGCACCTTCCTCCCTTCCTGTCCTGTCATCCAGCCACTTCTGCTCTTGTTTCTTTGCATGTTGTGCTTCCACAGGTGTTTACAAACTAAAGTTTAATTAGTTCTGTCTAAACTAGAAGATACTTTTAAATGGGTGACCTTTACTGCAGGTTCACCAACCTGCTAAATGAATGTTTGTGCTGACACTGGTAGCACAGGAACAGGCACAAGCTCTGGAACCCCCAACATAAGAAGAACACAGGCGTGTTGGAGTGAGTCCAGAGGAGGCCACGAAGATTCTCAGAGGGCTGGAGCTCCTCTCCTATGAAGAAAGGCTGAGAGAGTTGGGGTGGTTCAGCCTGGAGAAGAGAAGGCTCTGGGGAGATCTTAGAGCAGCTTCCAGTGTCTACAGGGAACCCTACAAGAAATCTGGAGAGGGACTTTTAACAAGAGCATGTAGGACAAGGGGTTAATTGCTTTAAACTGACAGATGGGAGATTCAGATTAGATATTAGGAAAAAACAAAAAATACTATGAGAGTGGTGAGGCACTGGCACAGGTTTCCCAGAGAAGCTGTGGCTGCCCCATCCTTGGCAGTGTCCAAGGTCAGGCTGGACAGGGCTTTGAGCAACCTGCTTTAGTGGAAGGTGTCCCTGCCCATGGCAGCAGGGGTGCAACTAGATGAGCTTTAAGGTCGCTTCCAACCCAAACCATGCCATGATTATATGAAGAGCAGGTGAGGTCAGCTCCTTCTTTTGGAGGGCCAGTTTTAAGTGACTGACTTACAAGCTCTGTGTTACCAGTGATACTAGTTTCTGCACCTGATATCACAGGCCAGAAAATAAACCTAGGAGAGATCCTTGTTGCACATTCAGAGATCAAACAGAAACACTAGCCTACCCCTCAGTGAAATCCTGGTTGTTTGTAGACACTGAGCACATCAATATTGTTCAAGATCAATATAAGTATAAAAAATTATTATAAATATTGTAGAACATATTTACATTTGGTTTCATTCTATGGCAAAAGGGATACTCACTGCTTATGTATGTAGTGTTTATGTCTTTACTATCCATTAAAAAGTTAAGGAATGTTGCAAAGCTTTTCAGAGGAAAATGTGGCCTATAATCTTAAATCCCAGTATATTAGATGTTATGAACAACATGGGATTAAGCCTTTCATACCTGACATCTTTGACAAAAATCTTGCTATCATAGGCATGGCACAACAAAGTAGAAACAGTTATCTTAAAGCCCACAATAGTACTACTGGATTTTTGTGTGGAAGAGGCCTACTGAAGTAGTATAGCTCTGACTGTATTCTTCACAATGTAATAACAATGTACTTATTGTACAATACAATACAAATAATTGTATTACCTTAATGTCTTTAAATTTTACCAGTAGTCAATGAGTGTCTCTGATCTTAAAGAGTACTAGTATCTTTTCTGAACACAGATACCTAAATCTTGTTTTTACAGTTAAGACAGTTCAATTGAAGGATTTGTGCTTCCTAAGTAAAAACATTGCTAAATGGATGCTTTTGAGTATGGGCAATGATTTTAATGAAAATTGTATTGCAGTAATAGGTGATTATTTTATACTTCAGTTGGACTAGCTGTGAGCAAAGCAGATGAAGACAGCTAAAATGTAACTAATTCATAGTTATCAAAATATTTACCTTGAATGCTTCAGAATGTTAGCTGAATCTGAATCTGTAGCCTCTATCATTGGATTATAACAATAAATTTGGCCTCAGGGGCCAGGGGAGGTTCAGATTAGATACTAGGAAAAAATTCTTCCCCAAAAGGGTTGTCAAGCACTGGAACAGGCTGCCCAGGGAAGTGGTTGAATCACCATTTCTGGAAGTATTTAAAAGATGTGTAGATGTGGCACTTTGGGACATGGTATAGTGGTGGACTTGGCAGTGCTGGGTTAAAGGTTGGACTCAGTGATCTTAAAGGTTTTTTCCAATTTAAACGATTCTATGATTCTATAACATAGGATTAGAAGAGAAAGAAAAAAAAAACAGAACTATTCCAAACCACAGAGGAAATACGTGCAATCAGTATAAAAAGAGAGGTGTGTATGTGGCTATAATTCTGGTGGACAAGCTAGCTCAAAGTTTCGAAAGTGCAGAGCACCACCTGTGTAAACTAATGCCTGGTGCAAAGATGTAGGTAAATTTTGCTGAATTTGGCTAAAGACCAACTATAGCTCCTCCACAGCAGAAACACTGTAATGAAATGAAAACTAATTACAGTGTTTAGGGCAAGACAGATCTGGTAGGCAGAATAGTTTATATACCAAACATCAAGTGGTACTTAGACCATGCAGTGACTCTGATTTATTCATTGCTCCTTGAACAGACAGATTACGTACCCATTTCTATTGGCAGGTCGTGGGGGGAGAGAGGGAGGGAAAGCTAATTCTGCTGAAAATTTCTTGTTCTGTTTCAGAGAAAACGTTTTATTGAGGGGGGGTGGGGGTGGGGTGGAAAGAGTGTTGAGCATCATTATCTCCTGAACAGCAACTGATTTAAGTAGTAGAAAGGTGGATTTGAGTGTACTGTTTACATCAAGTAACCCTCAGAAATGAGCGCTCCAAAATGCTGACTTTAAACTCTGATTTAATTGAGCAGCTGCTACAAGTGAATAGGAGTTGAGATAGCTCAGCACTTTGTTCCTCTGTTCTGCATGTACACAATAGATTTGGCTCTACAAGAACATTTTTTATTAAACAATTCTTTCATTTGCAGCTAAATGCAGTATATAATTGCATCATTCTCTGTTTAGAATATAAGCACATTATAGTTCTGTTTTTAAGGTGTATGGCACAGGTATTAAATATAACAGTATGGCTGTTCTTCCAGCCTCAATACTTGCAGAACACACATTGTAAAGCAGATTTTAATAACAGATTCAATGTCTTAGGTATTTTTTTTTCTCTGTTAAAATGTTGGATCATGCTCTAACTGGTTTTGTTTCTCCAAACCTTAGAAGTCCCAAGAATTGCAAGGACAAAAAATGCAAGGGCACAAGTAACCCCCACAAACCAAACGTCATTTTAAAAAAGAAAGAAACATTTGTGTATCTAGTATGTTCTGCAGGAAGGCTGAACTGACACAGTTCAAAGGCTGAGTCAGGTATCAACATGGGCAAATACTCGAAGGAAGGCAGGGGGACCCGGGCTGGCCTAGCACAGCGAGGACAGTGTCATCCCAGATGACACTTCCATCCCAGATGACAGGAAACTGAGCGTGAGGGATGAAAACAGAACAGCAAAAGCCGACAGTGTCACTCACAGCTGGTCTTGTTTTACAGTTACAGTAGTAAAACATCTTAGTATCAAAAACTGTGAGAAGACTTAAAATATGCCTTGACTCTTGATTTCCATGGTTCTTAGTAAAGGAATGCTGGAACATAAAAAGTTATAAAGTTAATACAAAGCTTTGCAGCACATGCTTGTTAAGCAGTGAGCTTTCACAAAACGTAACTAAAACCCCAAACTGGGGGTAAGTTCATGAAGATGTACAGGTGGCCGTGAGCCTGCCTGAGACTGAAAGGCAGCGATATCCCAAGCGGTCACGGAGGCGGTGAGGAGATCCAGGTGCCCACCCGTCCTGCCCTCGGGCCTCACCTCTGAAAGTCGTGCCCACGACGGGCCATCTTCTTGCAGCAAAACAGTTCAGGAGGCTGCCTCCTAGCTCCGCCGGCCTGTATTAAAAACAGTGACTCGCTGGAAAGCTGTGGGGCCCCTCCGCCGGAGAGCGGCCTCACCCGCACAGCCCCGCACCGCGACACCCAGTCCCGCGAGGCGCCAACGAATCTGCTCCGGCCCCGGCCAAGGCCCCTGCTCCGGGTCCTGCCCCGGGCCGGCGAGGAGAGCAAGGGCGGCCTCAGGCCCCCGTGCCCTCGGCTGTCGCGGCCCGCTCCATACGCGGCTAC